GATTCCAGAAGAGCCAGTTAAAGTCAAGAGCAACCATCAGAAATCTGTCTACCTACCAGGGCTGAAGACTGTGGGAGAACAGGAAACATTTGGATCAGGAAGTAAAAGACATTGCTTCTAAAGTTAATGACAACTCTGGAGGAAAAATGGTCCTGCCTCCATTTTTGTGGGGCTAGGCTCTGACTCTCAGAGACTGAACCCTTCTTCACCATCTCACTTCCCTATCTTTAAAATGAAATTTTGGTCTCTGCCAAGCATTTTATGTAAATATTGTTTTGCAGAATTCCTCTCCCCTGCCCAACACCCCTTAAATAGAGCTTCAGCAATATTTTCATTCCTCACTGATGGGCTGTTAGACTCATCCTGGGTATCGCTCAGTGAAAATTCTTCAGAAGTAGGTCTGCTATGTGATAGAGATGACAGTGGTGGGCTGGAGTAAGAGTCCTTGTGCGGTAGCTCTCTGATGCCACCCGCTCTACTTTTTTCCAAAGTAGCAATCAGCCCACAGTCCCCCAGAGTTATTTCTGCCTTATTCTGTCTCTATCTCCCATACCTTCTAGCACACCCTTCCTCCACCCCAATTCCCACATTGCATTATCTTCAAAAGTTTGGCAGGCATTTTTGCCAGGTCCTTTTCTCTCCCACTCCTCCAAGAAATCCTTGCAGGTTCTGGCTAATTCTAGCATGGTCCAGCCTGATCTAGCTCTTCTTTGAACCTGCCTGTTCTACTCCAGAAGCCCAGCCAGAGCAGGCGGACCTTTGAGAAGCTGGTGTGTTGATTCACAGCAGGTGCCCTTGGGGGGGGGGATGTCTCAAAGCAAAGGAGGCACACCTCAGCAGTCTAAGCAGAACTCTGTTTTCCACAGGCAGTGAAGAGAGAGGTTAATGGTTCTCTGATGGTTTAATGACAATAATGGTTTTACTTGTCTATGATACATGTTTTTACTTGTGAGGTATTTAGGATGATCTTTATAGGTATGATCTCCAAGGAGGAGAAGGGAGCAAGAACTAACATTTAGTGAACTTGGAGTAGGAGTTAGATTCCTGCATACTCTGGATCATTATCACAGCAGTTAAGGGCAGGGGGTTGGAGTGAGTCAGTGCTCGCTTCTATACCAGACCTGCCACTCACTGGTTATGTGTCTTGGACAAGCCACTAAATGCTCAGTAGCACCTGCCATGTAGAGTTGCTGGGAGGTTTAAATATGAAGCACTTAGTTCAGGACCTGGTGCAGGCTAAGTGCTCAGCAGATATTATTTATTATTATCGTGCCCATTTTACAAGTAAGAAAGCCAAGTCTCAGAGAGGTTAAGTAACTTACTCAAAACCCCACAGCTGGTTCTGTACCTCCAAAGCTAATATTCTCTCTACTGCATTCTGCTGCTAAGTGCACACAGCTTGTAGGGAGTGGTCTAGCTATCAAGGTTTCTTGTGACATCTAGTCGAGAATTATCTTCACTCTTGAGAAATTATCTTTGGACTAAACACACTTTGTTTTATGAGTTGTGGAGGGGTGCAGACAGGAAAAACAGTAGTGGGAGAATATTCTGCCAGCCCTCTCTCTGACAGATCTGTGGGGGTAGGCTTCCCATTAATTCTAGAACCTCCAAGAAATGCCCAGCTCTTCTTCCTGCTCAGTCATTTCCCAGAGCTCCAGGGAGCAGCAAGATTCCCGTAGCCCTCGACATAGGCCTGGAGTCTAGACTTGAGCTCTCTGGTCCCCTGGGAGGCAGCAGAGTGGCTACCAGCCCAGGCTTTGCAGTCAGGCAGAGCTGCTGGAGGGGTCCCGGCAACACTGTCCAACAGCCGGGGACCCTGGCCACGTCGCTACACTGGCTCTCAGCCTTGTTTCCACATCTGTCAGGTGGTGATGAACATAGTCCCAGCCTCCAAAAGTTGTTATAATAATTGGATGAGAATGTAGGTAAACTGTCAGGTGGTCCATACATAGTAGCTTTTATTAATATTATTTTCATCATTAGTAATTGAAAAGAATGTTCTAATGTCCTGGGAAAAAGCAAACCATCCACCTTGCCTACCCACCTACCTGGAATGGAAGTCCACTTAATTAGTGAGACTTCTCTTGGGTTGTTGGGACTGAGAGAGCTTCCCAGTTGGGCGGGCTGGGCCTATGAAGCTGTCCCCGACTTCCCAGTTGCAGATCTGGTCTCTTTTACCCTCATAGAAGACCCGAGCAGAGCTGCCTAGGAGAGCCAATGTCTCCAGGGTTCCCAAGACAGAGGAGCAGCCCATAGTGGCCACTTCTTACCTCACCTGGTCCCACCTGGTCCCTGCCCTCCAACCCTCCCAGTACTCAGTCCTCCTGAGGAATGTAGGCTGGTCTGAGCCCCTGGAGTCTGGCCAGGATGGTGCCTACCTGGGGGAGCTGGCTCCCCTGGGCACCCAGTCATGCAGTCATGAAGACCTCAGCAAAGATTCCCATCAGCCAGGCATGCCCCTGTCCTTCCTCATATTCTCCAGGCCACACAATTGTTAGGAAATTGTTTCGTTGGACATTGTTGGCTTTCTTGGCTTCTCCTACTTTGTGCTAGTTTTTCTTTTCTTTTTTTTTGGTGGCTGGCCGGTACAGGGGTTGAACGCTAGACCTTGATGTTATGTGCACCATGCTCAAACCAACTGAGCTAACCGGCCAGCCCTAAGTTTCTCTTTTTAATTGCCTAGACCTCTGTAGACTCTATACTGTAGGGATAAGCGCAGGAGCTTTAGGGGGAGGTGACCTTGATTCCAGTGGTCTTTCTTTATTCTGCTCAACATGTATTTGGTGAGGCAAGTACTGCATGAAGCATCGTGCCAAGACTTTACAGGGATTAGGATTATCTCATAAACCCTCAGAACACATCCATTAGATGGCTGCTCCTAATAGATGAGGAAATTCAGGCACGGAGAGGTAAAGTAACTTTCTCAGGGCAGCATAGCATGGGGTCTGCCAGCAAGGCAGGGACCCCGGGGAGGGGAAGACAAAGGAGGGAAGAGAGCAGGAGAGGAGTGGAGGGGAATAAGAGGACTGAACTGGTTACTTCACAGTCTTGCCCAGAGCCTGTCTCCTGAGCCCCAGGGCTGTGGGGTCCGACGGATTTAGCCAGTCCCCACAGTTTTGCCTGGAGGTGTGGGGGTGGGAAAGGAGGCCAGCAAGGGTTGAAGGAAGATGCAGAAAGGTCTTCCTAGGGAAAAGGCTTGGCAGACAGGATGTGAAGAGCTGCGCTGTTTTGCCTGGGAGCAGGAAGCCAGTGAGGATGCCTTTTCCGCTGGCCACTCGCAGCCATTTAACTCAGAACCTGTGTCTGGATCCCAAGGGGGCTCAGCTACCGAAGTCATGAATACACATGAGCCTAATGCAGCCTTGGGGTCAATCAGATAGTGAAGGTGGCATCCCCGATTCCCTCAGTTGCCAGTTTGTTGTATTTTTTTAATTAATGAACAATTTTGTGTTCATTATGCCAGAGCCTTGGCCAATGGAGAAATGCACCCTTCATCTGAGATTTTCTTATGTCTTCCTGCATGTGATTTCCGCCCCACCCCCAACACTGCCCCGGTGTTTCAGCAGTTTCCTCCTCCATTCCTATAAGAACCTGCCTTGCCTTTTCCCAGCTCCAGTTTTAGCTTCCTGTGTGCTGAGCATCTTGCAGTTGTCATCATGTCTTCAGATGCGTTTGATAGGTACAGGAAGTTACACCAGATGGAAGATGGGACCAACGATCAATAAAAGGAGAACTATGTTTCTAAGAAAAATGCATCACGGCTTCCCACAGGAGTTGTGTGCCATATGTCCTAATATCCGTGGAACAATGGATCTAATTTTTAGCTCTTCTGCTTGGCTCTCTTGGCCATTTCAACGAGAAAGAAAATAGATTTTAACCGGCTGCTCCCCAGCTTACTGATGATCTGTAGTAAAAATTGCCTTGCTGTTTAACCCATTCATCAGATATCACAAAATAAAATCTCTTCCTCCTCTCCCTCCAGCTTTATTTCTCCGGCTACTAGTTTAGTATATTTATGGTGCATGAGTCATCACGCTGCCCGCTGATTGGAGAAAAACCAAACACCCCTGAGACCATCAGTCAATTACAGCTATTCTCAGCTTCATTCACAGATTTATTGGCTTGCACACACACACACACAGAAATTCATTCGGCGAAGTTCATTCATAAAAATTTCAACACTCTGGGTATCATCCCGCATATCTCAGGCTTCTGCTGCGAATGGGCTGCTAAGAAAAGCTCCGAGAGGTGTCCAGGAGGGAGGGCAGCTCTGAGCAAGGGTGGGCAGGCTGGGAGGGGATCTGGGGAACACGGAGGGTCCTCAAGTCAGAGAAACAATGTGGAGCGGCGCCATCGCTAGTACTCCAGCTGTGGCCCAGAAAGGGCTTCAAGACAAGATCTTCCAAGAGAGGGCAGCCATCAGAATCAGCGAACCCAGGCAGGACCTTGGGCTCACATATACCTCCCCCCCCCCACCCCTTTTTAATGAACAATCAGTGGAACAAATAAAGGGTTAATAGTCCGGTCATTGCCCCGCCCCGTGGGAGCCGAAGGGAGCAGGTTTGAAAGTTCCTGCGTGCAGACTGGGAGGCTGGGGGCTGGGGGGCGCTAAATATTATCCTGGGCTCCTGCAGGCTAGTGATGCGGCGGGGCCGGCTGGCCGGGGCTCGGCCCGTTTCCGTGCCCGAGAGTTGGCCGCGAGCAGTCCCCGCCACGAGCCTGGGTCCAGGCGTTCAGGCGTTCCCAGCGAGGAATCCGAGACGAGAACACCGGGTGCCGCTGCCCGGGCCGGGGAGGGACTGAGATCAGAGCAGGGGAGGCGTTTCCCCGCTGGGCTGTCATCCTTAAGGGCCCGGGAGCCCAGGCGGGCGAAAGCAGAGTTGGAGAGGTGGCTGCCGCGAGTTGCTCGGGGCGTTGTGGCACTCGATGTCCGTACGGTTTATCTACCAGACGACGGGGCGATTTATGCAACCGTACCCGGTTTCGGCACTGCCAAGGCTATGCGAGAACGCGCTCGGGACAGCCTGGCAGGACTCGTGCTGTACGTAGGACTCTTCGGGCACCCCGGGATGCTGCACAGGGCCAAGTACAGCCGCTTTCGGAACGAGTCCATCACGTCCTTGGACGAAGGCAGTCCGGGAGGCTCGGCCGGGAACAAGGGCTCGCCGCAGCCTCCCTACCCCGCCCTGGCACCTCACCTGTCGGCTGAAGATGCCACCTTGCCGTCCCAGGAGAGCCCCACCCCACTGTGCACCTTGATCCCCCGCATGGCGAGCATGAAGCTGGCCAACCCAGCCACTTTGCTGAGTCTGAAAAACTTTTGCTTGGGTACCAAAGAGGTGCCCCGGCTGAAGCTCCAGGAAAGCCAAGACCCGGCTCCCAGCAGTCCCGCTTCCCCCGAACCCAGTCTGAGTAGGGCTGGGTCTGCACCTCCACTGCAGCCAGACCCGGTTGGGAACCGGGCAAACGCCTCAACTCCAGATGCCTGCCCACTTCCCGGCCCTGGGGAGCCAAACCCCAGGAGCAGGCAGGACAAGCACTTTCTGCAGCACCTGTTGGGGATGGGCATGAACTACTGTGTGAAGGTAAGTGCATTTTCCTCTCTGCGCTCCTAAGAACTCTTGGGGAAAAGGGTATCTTCTCTGCTTTCTGCAAGGGACCACACAATTCCTGACTGGGTTCTAGGTATGGACAAGACATTATGCAACTGGACCAAAGGGGAGGGAATCTGGGTTTACAAATTTCCCTACCTATATCTGACTTGTACTGGAGTCAAATAACCTTTGGTTCAAGGGCATAAACTATTGATAACTTGTAGATAGTTGCCAGATGTAGGGGCAACTTCTGATAGAGGCGGCCTTCTTGTCCCCACTGGACCTAGCATTCTGGTCAAGAAGAGTCAAGGATTTCAAATCTGATTAGTGAATGAGACCTGGTAGGTTATGTTGGCCATTATATTTTGGATAAATACAATAGAGATTTCTGTGCTAGAGGAACACATGGTGTGTAAGGGGCTTGAGTTTTTTTTTTTTTTTTTTTTTTTTTTTTTTT